CCCCTTCTGTTCTTTTTTTATGTCTTGCTGCGTAATGCTCTTATTTCTCCCACCCCCCCACACCCCCCCCGTTTGTTTGTTTGTTTGCTCAGGTGTTTGGTGCTCTGGCATCCGAGCCCTTTAAAGTCAGCGAAGGCTTTTATGGCACAGGAGAGACTTTTCTGTTCACCTTCAATCCAGAGTTTGAGGTACGACTCTTCTAGAGCTGAAGATCGTCAGGATTCCATAAAACGAAACGCAGCTGCCGATTAAATTTGTAAAGTACTCTATCAAACGTTTCATCAGTTGTAATGCTCTTATTTATCGTTTTAAAGATCATAAATGTTTAAGTCATGAAAGTATAGATGAGTCCACTTTGAATTATCACTGCTAAAGTGGTGGCAGGTTTTAATCCCTGTGTGTCGGCTGCAGCGTCAGCAGAATACGGAGCTGGATTAATGTTCGGTGCTGTTCCCAAAGTGAAGGAACAAAATGGACTTTTGAAATCTGGCTCACAAATTATTGTTACTATTAACTGTTAAACTTCTTAAAGCAAGACACGTTCTGCATTAAGTTAATTTACACGTTGCAGCCAGTGTTTTAGCCTCTGGCTTGTTTTAAATGAGTTTATTTACTTGTTGCACCAAAAACCTGGATAGTTGAATCCAGATCAGAGAAATGAGAACTGCTTTTAACCAAAACTCATCTTCATGGAGAGATTGCTCTCTCTGATTCTTTGCACTCCTAAGAGAGTCTTGTGGCCTAGGCATGCCCTAAGGTTTGAAGCAGTCTTTTATTTGTATCTATTGTTGCTGTTGAAGCAGCAGCAGTCTTGGTGGTCTCACTGATGTTCTGTAGAAAAGACTAGAAGGTAAATCTGTGTCCCTCTGAGGGGGTTCATTTCTACATGCTCAGGCTGTAGAGACGTTGTTTCCTCTCTGGATGTGGACTTTCATAATACCAGGTACATTCAGTTCACTGTCTTTTCATGACTCTTCCAGGTTTACAAGTGGACAGGTGACAACATGTTTTTCATCAAAGGAGACACGGACTCTTTAGCGTTCGGTGGAGGAAGGTGAGTTAGAAATCTACATACAGGATTAGGACGGCTGATGAATATTAGGACCGTTACAACTGTTTTATTTTTATATCATCTAATTGTTTTTTTAACTAACTGATCAATTTAAGCAACTCTCTTTTCTCCAAAACTCCAAACCAACCATTTTATGCCATTTTATTTTATTTGTAACAGTCTATGATGGCATTTGCAATTTACCATGAAATTAAATGTAAACAGATTATTGAATTTAATTTACAAAAAGTAGCTTTAAAGTTTCAACTCCAGCATAACAAACAAATAAAATGACGCTTTTGTTGTTTATGTTTTCAAAAGTAAAATGCCTGAATAATCATCATGTTGTAAGGATGCTGCTGGTAAGAACTGCAGCAAACTGGTGAGAAGTACTTCTGTTACAGGAAGTCAGTCATGTGGCTTTTTTATCAGAAATAGGAGCGTGACAAATACCACTCAACAATTTAAACCAGAATCTTCTTCCTTCGTCTGTTTCCTCTTCAGGGTCTCCACAGTGAGTCCTCCTCCATCTCTGTCCTCTGCATCCTCTGTCCTCACTCCAACTACCTCCATGTCCTCTCTAACTGCATCCATATGTCTCCTCTTTGTATTTTTCCTGGCAGCTGCATTTCTAACATCTTTCTACCAATATACCCACTGTCCCTCCTCTGGACATGTCCAAACCACTGTCCCTCCTCTGG